TATAAAAAATACTTATGTATAAAAAAAATTAAACTGTGGCTCGATTGAAAAATATTAACTATAATATTAAATTATTTTCTCTTTCTCAACGAATTATAGGTTGTTATCAAACCAAAACATAGCTAAATACAGTCCCGGCAATAATTTAGACGACTTACGTCACGAGTGACATAATGCAATTGTTTGTATGTATTGTCAACGATAGTTTGTCACGTTAAAAACAATCATCTGCTGTAATTTAGTGTAATATATAGTTTAAACATTTAATGCAATATATAGTTTTATTATTCTCTGTTGTAGTTTCTTAAATATTTTGATTGAATTATCTTACCTCGAACTTCAGTTGTTACATCAAACTGCTTTGATGTTCCGGGATGAGGTTCTGATGATGAGGGATTTGGCACATATACATTGGGATTTTCTGTAATTACTGCTTTTTCATCATAACTATGTCCTGCAAAAAAAAATAAATTGTTAATTGTAGGTGTAGGTATGTACCTATTAAGGGAATATGTTAGAAACGTACTAGGCATAATAGTAGGTATCGCATTTTTCTTCAGTTTATTCTTTGCTATATAACTAAAAATGCCTGCAAACATCTTGGCTTCAAAATGAGAACTGCAGACTCGGCAACTTCTATATAAATGTTCTGATGAAAAATGAGCAAGATCCAACCCATCACAATTTTTTAGCCAAATCGAGCACCTAAAATGAAATGGAAAATTACACATAGAAGTAGATTCATTTAATTATAACAATGATCATCAGTTTTTGGAAGTCTAAATAAAGTTAAATCTGAAGATGTATTGAAACAATTTTCAACGATGCACTTACAAATAAATGTTTTTGATTTTGGCATTTCAAATAGTTTATAAGTCTAGCTCACTATAAATATCACAAATAATTAAAAAAAAAACGGAGATCCAAATGAAATATCTATAACACACACACTGATTTACGATACGAGATACGACGAATGACAATGAATAACCTATTAACATTAACCTAACCCGACTTTATACACAACTCAGCACCTTCATACGAAACGAAGCATGTTCGTATGATTTGTCGTTTACTCTTTGGCTAAACCGTCTCTGGCACCATAGATACAACTCATCTCAGAAACTCGAATATGTTCTACTTCACTCTTGTAAGGCACAGTAGTAGAGAAAGTAAAGAAAATGTGGCAAATGTGATTGATAAAATCATACCTGTTAAATTACAAATTTTACTCCAAGTTGCGCCTAACAACAAAAATTCGGTTCAAAATCTTTGTGCTTTGCGCATATTAGAAAAAGATAAAATATGATCCACGATTATGAATGAAGTGAAACCTCTTATTTGTTTATTCTCTTTGCTATGACTAAAGAGTAATCAGAAACGTAAGTGGTTTACCAATTCAGAATATTTGCGCCACGCCGGGCAAGCTTGCATATGCCCGTCGAGTGCTGTATCGGTTAAGGCCAGCTAAGGCTTTTCGCCAGGGATTAGAATTACACATAATATGTATATTTATTTGCTATAATTTTGTTCTTTAAATGAATTTTTAAACATTAGAACAATTTTTCCCTGGAAAGGTATTCCAGAAAACAACATTTTAATAAATGAAATAATAAACCGTTTTATAATAATGTGTAAATCGAGTTAAAAAATAAATATCTACGGTGCTGTGTTGAATATTCTGTAATAATGATAATTATAATTATTAAGTTTTTTTTTAACTCGTTGCTGTTAAACTGAATTAAGAATGATTGCGGAGAAATTTTCAATGTTTTAATAGATTCGAGTCTCCAATCCAATACTTATTTTTTCTTCAAATAATAAAGAAACTGTTAGATATTAAAAAAAAAACGTTTGTTTCATTTAATAAATTTTTTGAATTTCAATCAGCTTTTTAATAAATTATAATATGAGTATACATAAATTGCCTTACGCACCGGGCAAGCCCTTCGGCTTCACTCGTAAAAAGCTGCGGATCATTTGTTAACAGAAAATTTGAAAATTTTTGATACAGAAACTAAACTAACCAGTAAACTGCAATTATTCCTATATGATATTAAGTTATATGAGAGAAAAAATATTTTGCCCACCCATCTCAAAAAACCACGAGCTGCCACTGATATAAGGTATGTGCATGTCCATAACCTTCTTGTGCACCTTCTCTTAACATTACTAAATTACAACTAGTCTTAAACCTATGCTGCAAACCATATGCATAAACTTATCTGTTAGTTATTATTATTACCTTTTTTTTGTTATTCCAAATTAGATAATTGTATAAGCTAATACCGGCTGTCAGTAAGCAAAAGTTGTACCTATGTATTTCCTTATTATTATTAACTTGTAAACAATTACTAAAACTTTCAGAATTACCTACATATCCATACAAATGATCAGTAAATAGCTTATGGTTGTGTCCCCGATTAATGTTAAACTTTTCCTTTTCTGCTTTTATTGCTTAGTTTTGTTTAGTTATTTTTTTTCCCCAGTCAGTTATATTAGGTAGTCCGGTTACTATTAGATATATATATTTTTTCTGTTTTAATGCATCTTACTAACATCGTTTATTTAATTTGTTTATAGAGAATTAGATAAGGATTAATGATAGATATAATAATTGTCCACCTCGTGATCATGAGGGGTCTCCCAATTGAGATTTATTCTCATTTATTTAATAGGTATTGTCGACTTAAATACTTTAGTTGTGATTCTGAACGTAACAACGTTAATAAATATTAGTAACTAAACTATTTTGTTCTATTAATTTAGTGAATTGAGCATATTAAAATATAACTGGATTAGGTGTTGCTACTAGTTGCTAAATAAGCTATTTTGGGTCAACATTACCTTTTAACTCAATATTTAGTAACCAATATTGAGTAGCTTAGAACCCTAGGGTAAATGGTTACTGGTGCCCTTAAACTAAACGGTCCTCTTAAAGATTGACCGCACGACCAGCTCCGGCTGAGGGCTAGCTTAGGGTTTTGCATTTCTAACTTGGACCTTTTTTTTCCTTTAAGATCAGGGTAAGTACATCAAACCTCAGCGAAACGAGAAGGTAGCAACCTTTGGAACAAAATAACGATACTAGAATATGTTTTAATTGCAATGTGAGTATTTTATAAAAGTTAACAATTATAAATGAAGATCCAACATGTTTTCGATTAAATGTATTACTGCAAACAACTAATACTACTTGCGTTATTTGCAATGCTTAAAACAATATACACAGATTATCCCTTGAATGTAGAATTCATGTTTTTATAAAAAGATATATTTACATACCTACAAATGTAAGATCGTGTCAACATTACTTGGATGAAAAGGGAATTCTTTTAAGTGCATTGTTGCCTGGTCTACGATCAATTAATAGACCTTGTAAGATAAATGGACAAAAAATGTTAGCATTTTAAAATCAATTAAAAGAAGTTTCTAGCAATCAAACTAAATCTTTAGATATGACTTTGAGCGAGGAAGAATTCAAGTGCATCTCGTCTATAATATGAAGAACTTTTAACATACTGCGATCCAGTAATGCAATATGGGAAATTGAGACATAAGTGAAAAGGATTTGCTCACTTTTTTGTGCAAGTTGAGAAAAGGATTGATTGATGAATTTTTAAAAGTTATTTTTGATTGCAGTCATCGGCAAGCTGTAAGTCATGTTATCGATCGCGTTAGGAGATCATTATTATTAAGATTGATTCCAGGAAATATCGGACCGGAATCAAAAATAAGACAAGATTACATAGTTCAACATGTCACAATTTCTCAAATGCTTTATACAATCCTCAACCAAATGAATCAAAGGCTATTGTTATCATTGATAGTACTTATGCATATTTACATAAAAGCTCTTGTTTTCGAGTATTACGTCAATCATATTCCGTGCATAAAGACCGACATCTTTTGAAACCAACACTAGTTGTAGCACCTGATGGGTTCATTTTGGCAATATTTGGTCCCTACTTTTCTGATTGCCCAAACAATGACGCTGAAATCTTACTAGATGAACTTTGAGAAGATGGAAATTCGTTAAGACACTGGTTGCATGATGGTGATATCTCTTTGGTTGATAGAGGATACCGAGATGCATGTCCATTTCTGCAACAGTTGGGTATTGATCATCGAATGCCTGCATTACTTGTGCCTGGAAGAAAACAATTATCCGCAGAAGAAGCGAATAATTCACTTCTCATAACAAAAGGTGGATGGACAGTTGAAAGCAGAAATGAGCATTTCTGATCTATTTTTAAAATGTTTGGTAATCTATTTAATATGCAACATGCAAAATATATTGGTGACTTTTATAATATCAAGTACCCCAATGAATCCTTGCTAAATTCAACATCAGAAGCACGCAATGAGAACGAAAACAATATTGAAGTATTAGGTTAAGGCATTAAATTCCTGCTAGATAGGATCGTTGAACTCTGTAGTCTTTTTAGGGCTACATGATATGCTAAGTCCGATCTAGCAATCTCCCCGTGGTGCACATTGGGTCACGCAAATGCTGACGGCAATCGCTATGATTTTTATTGTACGATAATGATTGCGAAAAATCGATTGTACTGATCGTGATCTGAATGATCGGCTCAATATCGTTTTAGTATTTTTTTACTATACTATGCAGATAGTGAAATCTAAAGCATTGTAGCTTCGCGAGCTGCAACTTTGAACCATGAATTATTAGGGCTTGAAGCCCATTGACACTTTTTAATCTACCAGTCAAAAGCTACAAAAACCACCTGGTTTCAAATCATTTGACTGAAAACCAATTTACATAAGGATTCCGGCGGGCCCTTTTCAGATTTCAGTTCTGATTACTTTTTGAGATAATCCTACTGGGCTCTCTTCGTGATACACCCGTAGAACTGATTATGTAAACGTACTTTACATTTTCTAAAGAAACAGTTCTTATGTGCAAACTGTTTTTCTCTGTTTAAAAAAAAACGATAAATATTTTGTCAGAAATTAACTTTAATATCTTTTTATTGTAGAACATCAGTGCCACGAGAGATCCTGTTATATGTAAAGCCTGCTTTGATTCACTTCATACTCACAGCAGTTTTTTAAGGAACTGCCTCGATTCACAGGAAAAATATAATTATGTTGATGAACAGTCTTACATTAAAACTGAAGAAATTGAAATAAAACTGGAAGACAGTGGTCATGATGCACAGGAGAAATATAGATGTGATGAAAACCAGTCTAAAGAGATTGAAATAAAACCGAAAGATGATGAAGAAGGGTAAGGAAATATCGATAAACTTTATAATTTATAGTAGTACTTCTTTTTTTTCTGCCTTGAAGGCGAGGGATTTCCTAAACAGGGATTTAATGTTTGATTTGCGTTCATTTCAGTTTGAAGACTTTTTATTTTTTCAGTGATTCATCTCCAGACGACTTAGGAAATGAAACAATTGATTACAAAGAGATGCACCATTCTCAAGATATAGAACAAATAATAGGCGAATGTGAGATAGGATTAAAAGGACATCGTAATGTTCCAAGCAGAAGCAAGACCAGAAGCAAAAGGTCTAGATTTAAAATGTGTGAACGATTCTATCGATGTGATAAATGTAAATATAAATCTAGGTTCAAAAATAGTCTGAAAAGGCATCAGTTAATACACAAAAACCCGTCAGAATTGACAATGCACAAGTGTGATAAGTGTGATCATAAAACTAAGTTTAAGACGAATCTAAAACAGCATCAGATAAGACACAAAATCTCTTCAGGATTCATGGTGTACAAGTGCAGTACATGCAGTTTTAAAACTAAGTATAAAAATGTCCTCGAAAAACACAAGTTGTTACATAACAACCCTTCAGAAATCCAAATGTACAAATGTGACACATGCAGTTTTGAAACCAAACACAAGGGTAATCTAAAACGTCATCAGTTAAAGCACAAAGACCCTTCCGAAACCCAAATGTACAAATGTGACAGATGCAGTTATGAAACCAAACGCAACGATGAGCTAAAACTTCATCAGGTAAAGCACAAAGACCCTTCAGATATCCAAATGTACAAATGTGACACATGCAGTTATCAAGCCAAACGCAAGGGTGATCTAAAACTTCATCAGTTAAGGCACAAAGACCCTTCAGAAATCCAAATGTACAAATGTTATACGTGCAGTTATGAAGCCAAACGCAAGGGTGATCTAAAACTTCATCAGTTAAGGCACAAAGACCCTTCCAAAATCCAAATGTACAAATGTGACACATGCAGTTTTGAAACTAAACGCAAGGGTGATCTAAAACTTCATCAGTTAAGGCACAAAGACCCTTCCGAAATCCAAATGTACAAATGTGACACATGCAGTTTTCAATCCAAACGCAAGGATGTTCTAAAATTTCATCAGTTAAGGCACAAAACTCCTTCGGAAATCCATATGTATGAATGTGACACATGCAGTTATGAAACTAAACGCAAGAGTGATCTAAAACTTCATCAGTTAAGGCACAAAGACCCTTCCAAAATCCAAATGTACAAATGTGACACTTGCAGTTTTGAAACCAAACGCAAGGGTGATCTAAAATTTCATCAGTTAAGGCACAAAAATCCTTCGGAAATACAATTGTACAAATGTGACACTTGCAGTTTTGAAACCAAACGCAAGGGTGATCTAAAACTTCATCAGTTAAGGCACAAAGGCCCTTCCGAAATCCAAATGTACAAATGTGACACATGCAGTTTTGAATCCAAATGCAAAGGTGATCTAAAACGTCATCAGTTAAGGCACAAAAAGCCTTCGGAAATCCATATGTACGAATGTGACACATGCAGTTTTGGAACCAAACGCAAGGATGATCTAAAAATTCATCAGTTAAGGCACAAAAATCCTTCGGAAATCCATATGTTTGAACAAATGTGATTTGTGTAATATCAAACTAATTTTAGAAGTGGCACTCACAAAACCCAATATAAGAACAGTTTAAATCATCAGTTAAGGCACAAAAACCCTTCGGAAATCCAAATGTTCAAATGTGATAAAAGTAAGGTATATTTAAACAAGCATCAGTTAAAATACAAAAACTCTTCGTAAGTACAAATGTACAAATGTGATACTTGTAGTTATTAAACCAAAAGTAAGATATATTTAAACAAGCATCGCTTAACACTTTGGAAGTCTAAATATACAAGTGTGTATCATGCAGTTATCTGGCTAAATGGAGGAGTTATTTGAAGAGCCATTTGTTAATCCACAAACATTCGAGAAATCCAAATGTACAAATGTGATTCTTGTACCTGAGACTAAACATAAGCCATTAAGATATTTTAATAAACCTTAACAAAGGTTCAAAATTTCAATGCAAATATGACAGGTATATTTTGTGAAAAAATTGCACTCATGTTCTGCATTGCTTTTAGAAGATATGTTATAAATTTGTTTGTTGTCTGCCTTAATACATTTATTAAAGAAAATAAAACAGTACCGTTTCGATTAAATTATTATTTTAGGTATTAATACACAGTTGTATAAAATTATACAACGCCAATTATTTCAATGTTTTCTCTACAACTATAAATTTATTATGAAGTTAATATCCGAATGATTCTCACTACCTTAATAATTATGAAGAGTATGTTTATAACATTAAAGCACAAAAAAGTTTCTGTAAACACGTGTCTGAAAACACTTTTTTTAGATATAACAGGGTTTAAAGGTTTGAGTAAAAAATATATTTCTTTATATGACAAAATTCGGCTGAACTGATTTCATTCAAATGTGGTGTATAATTGTAATTTTTTATTGAACAAATAAGAAAATGTAAGCATGACAAAGTTTATTACATACAGTGCACGGTGGGCAGGAACCAACTTTATATCGCATAAAAATGACGAAAAAAACTGAAAGCGGCGATGTATTTGTACTTGAAAATAGATTCAAAATCAGTTTGAATTGAAATCCTAGCTGCTCTTGTTTGTAAGATATTCAAATTTTTCGTTTTTTATAGCAAGAATTTGTGATATATACAATATTTAAGAATCACGATGGTTAAAAACTTCTTTTATGCAAAATTTTGAATAAATATACAGGGTGATTCAGTAATAATGTCATTAATTTTAACCACGTATTCGGAAAGCTTAATAAAGACAGAAAATTGGAAAAAAAATTTTTTACTCGACATTTAAAAATGAAGGAAATCAACCCATAACTTCCCGCTAAGAGGGCCACCCTGCCAGATGCCCGGATGCTCGGAAAATTTTGTAACGTAATGTCACGAACAAATCGTCAACTGAAGCGAACAGCGTTGCCAAGTTCACATCATAATCTGTGGTTCACATTTAATTAATCCGCTTGAGTATACGGACACATATGTACGAAATCAATAAAATGCAAGTAAATAAAGGATCATGCTGCATTTTATTATAACTAATTTTAATAATTGTATTAACTTAGTGCAAAATGTTTTAACAAGCCTGAGTTCTCGAAGTCAACTTTCGTTAAAAGAAAATAAATAAAGCAGAGGTTTGTAGGCACACTGTATTTTATCAAATAAAAAAGTCGGCACACTAAATACCCGAATATACAAAATACACTACACGGTTACAAAACCATTATCTAAAGCGTTTATTCAAATGTACCACCCTCCATATCTCCCGCATTTTTGCCGCAAAGGAGTTAACATAACAGCTGATTTCCCCAATCGTCTTGAATTTTGCAATTGGTTCCTAAATCGAAGTGCAGCAGAACTTTATTAACAAAGTGCTCTGAACGATGGATGCTGTTTTACTCGTGCTGGCATTTTAAACAGATAAAAAACAAGTATTGCTTTCTCAAAAACAATAAGTGCCTATCTAGGTTACACCAAAGTTTAGATTTACACTAAAATTTACATTTATTATGTAAACTTTGGTCATATGCAACTGCATATTGAATAATAAATTGAAATACTAAAACTGTGTATTATTTAACATAATAAATTATATAACGTGAAAACGTTAGTAATATTAAAAATGATAAATTGTAATAACCGTACATTTGATAACAATCATCCCTATTCAATTTGATGACATGGTTTTCCTTTGATAAAAGACCGACAACTTTTTGCTCTACTTTGCATGGAATACAATCCTAGTACAGTTCGTATTAGTCTAGGAGCCAGATCAAGTTCCGTGTACTAGCTATAAAAATAAACTTTTTATAGCCATTTAAACATTTAATTTGTTGATAACAATTAAACTGACCACTTCCAGGCTTTGCGACCACGTTTTTGGATTCGGGAGGTCAAAATACTTTAGAATAAGTTGTTTGCAGCCGTGGCACTCTGGTTGGCAACGGAACCCTGTCTGGCTCCTAGATTATATAAAGTTAGCACAGGTTAGCCTAGGTCGGAAACACGTACCTAGTTGTTTATTTGTCTCCATCCGATTGTATTTTTATCTTCTATTACTTACTGTAAATATTTAAATACTACATACATTTCACCCTCTATAATTTATTTAGTGAGTGTTGGTTTTTTATGTCATTATTTCTGTAATGAAATTTAAATGGTTATGAAATGAAATTTAAATTATTTGGACTCTTGGGGTTTTGTAATTTCAATATTAAATTTTATTTAAAGTGAAACAGAGCTAATTTCTTTGCAGCCATAATAATCACATTTGGTCAGATGAAAACTCGCACACTATTCGTCGGATTAGTTCTCAGAGGAGATTCGGTGTCAATGTATGGGCAGGAGTATATGGCGATCATTTAATTGGGCCGCATTTTCTACCTGAACATCTCAATGGGCCGCGTTACTTTCAATTTTTAGTAGAAGGCTTACAGCAAATTAAAAAATTATCAGTATGATGTTAATAAAAAATAATTTTTGGCAAGTCGTGCTCAGACCTCCTCGAGGTTCTTGCTGGGCAACAACAACAATTTAATATGTTGATTGCATAATTATAAAAAATAATATATAGCATTTTCAATTATTATTGGCTGACGTGAGTAAACCGTTTATTTATTGTCTTTATATGAGCGAAAATATATAAATATGGCAACATTGCATCTAGGGCGCTTTGTTCATATCGTAGCCGGCTGACGTCAGCCGGTCAGTAGCAGCCTGAAAAGGGGGTTAAATAATGATTTGATTTTTTTTTTTTCAGCTTAGATATGCATTTAATTTTTTTTAATCACGCCATCGTATTATACTCATTTGTCTCTTTCTGCTCTTAAAATTAATGACATTATGACTGAATCACCCTGTATACAGGGTGATTCATTAACAATGGGAAAATCGAAAACAAGATACTACACGTAAACTGGTGACCATTGGCGTAAACATATCTTTTCCGAAAGCTGATAGTTTCGAAAATACAGAATGTTCAAAGTTAAAATTTTAAATCGTTTTTTTTGCGATTATTCTGAAAATATGTAGGTTATGAACTTGAAAATTTGTAAAACTATGTTTTTTAAGCGACGAATAAGGTGCGTGTTGTAAATTCAGCGTTGCTCATAGAGAGCGCCACTTACGACCAATTTTACCGAAAGTTTAGTTTTTTAGCTCTTACCCCTTCTGAGTTATCTTGAAAAACCCCTTTATTTTACTTTTTTTCACCCCTGGTCGGGGGTTAAAAAAATATTCACTTATTGTTATTACATACCTTAAACTAACTTAATATAATATAAAACTCAATATAAAAAATTCAGGCAAGTTGACAAAAATTGCGATTTAAAGGCCCATTTAATGGGACCAAATGTAGAATATCCCAAAATCATTTTTATGCACGGTGGGACATTTTGGTGATACATGTATTGGGATCTCAAGAACTATAAGAAAAATGATTAATAGGGGAAGTTTTTCGGCTTTCCAATTATTTTGAAGAATAGAATAGACAATAACTTTTTTAACATTTTTGAAATCTGTAAAAACTTTGATGTACACTGAATGAAAATTAGTCCTTCTTAAAAATGCAACAAGCGGACACATTTCAGTAAAATGCCTGTGGATTCTAAATACGGTATTTTTTTATTTTAGTCAGTGGTGTATCATTTATCACGAAAAGGGTTCGCCATTTGCACGCCAATGAATTTTGCAATTAACTAAAACTGTACCTAATAGTCATGGGTATTGGCCTTGTGTAGAATTAGAACACAATTTCTGTATACAGGGTGTTTCATAATGGTGTGCAAATATTTTAAAGTGTTTAGAAAGTAATTTTAGGGGAAGGGTACTACCAATACATTGTTTCAATTTGAGCCCCCCCCCTGAGTATATATTCAAATCTCAAAATGGTCGAAAAAAATAGCTTTTATTTTTTTTTATTAAATTTTTAATTCATATTTGCTTAGATTTTCCTATTGATAAAAAGGAATTTATGCAAAAACCATGTCAAAAATGACAATCGTTTTTGGTAACTGTTATACTAATTATGTGTACCTAATTGGCAAGGAAAAATAATTTATTTTTTTGCTCGTAAACCATTAAGTATACGAGAAAATGGGAAGAGTAAAAAAAGTTTCTAATTGAAATGTAGTATTAAAAGCTTATTTTTCTTGTAGGAATTGGCTAACGTAGAAAAAAGTTNATAAAACAAAGAAACACAGAAAATGGCGAGATACGGGTCATGTCGTCAATATGTCATACTGCGCATGCACCATGCACTGTGCAAAGCCAAGAACCATCCCAGGATGGGATCACTCTAGAATTTGCCTAGGATATCCCAAAATTGGAGATTATTCGGCTTTTAATATCTTCATAGGATATTTCCAGGACATCCTGTTTGGATTTACCTGGGATATCCCCAACTAGGATATTGATAGGATCTACTTGTCTTATTTAAATATCATCAGGATATCCTGAGGAGTGAGATCCCCGATTAGGATATATAGGACTAAATGAGGATATCCCAGGGACGTCATGTGCTGTGTGGGCTGTATTTTCGAATCTATCAACTTTCGGATAAGGCATATTTGCGCCAATGGTCACCATTTTACGTGTAGTATAATCAGTTTTCGATTTTCCCATTGTTAACGAATCGCCCTGTATATTATATCTATTTAGTATAAAATAATCAAAGAATTTAAGGCTAGGCTGTATATGATATCTATTTAGTATAAAATAATCAAAGAATATAAGGCTAGGCGTGTCATTGTATGTAAGGGGCCACTCATTCACAGGCGTCTCTGGATGCCTCGGACATATTATATACAGGGTGATTCACAACTTATCCAAAAAAATTGGGAATAGATGCGGCATGAGAAATGGAGTCAATATTGTAAAAAAAATTATTGAAGTTATAGCACATTAAACCACTACATAGCTGGACAACTGTAGTCTCTAGCATCATTCACGCCTCGTGACCACGTGGCCTCATCGACTCCGAATACTGAATTCGGATTTTGCAATCGTCGTTGCGATATTTACCTGTTATCTGTGGTTTTTATAATACATTTTTAGTAGTTGGTGTCAAAAATGGGTAGTTAGTGTCAAAATTGGT